AATCATTGTTTGGTACAAAAATTTATGGAATTTGGTACGAAAAGTTCTGGTTTCTCACTTTGTGCGCACTTCTCCTCCTTCTTCTTCCCCGTTCTCTCTCTCTCGTATGGATTGTTCGGTACAACAATAACTCTTTGATGAAACCCGACAATGGATCCGACAGAGTTTCACAGCTTCATTTATTTTCCCATAACTTTTGGTGATTTACAGCAAACTCTAGTTGTTTCGAATGATAATTCATAATTGTAAGATTTTGCAACAATAAAGGAATTTATGATTTTGTTAATTCGTCTGTTTCTTTGTCTCTCTGTCCCTCTCTCTCACTCTTCATCTGTTCCTTTCAGAAATTTAAAAGTTAGTTTGAGAGGGAAATGCAATGAGAGATAAGAGAATTTAATCTACCGGAAATGATCACGGGTAGCAGTAAATCATTTGCTGCTATTTTTTCAAAACAAAACAATGAGCAATTCAATTCAAGAGCATATCTTCTGAACAGCCAACGGCTAACAACTGTCCGGATGCAATGGTAGCATAATGAACATTGCCGGTTTTTTTTTTTTTTTTTTCACTTTTCTGTTGCTCATTCAGTGTGATATATTACTTTGCTCAATAAATCGTAGAAGATTACAGCTTTTCACAGGACTAGTAAACAAATGATAATATGAAACAAAATTTATTTATTAATTACCGATATATTTTCTTGCAGATAAGAAGAATAAATTCTATTGAATATTGCAATATTGCTAGTTAAAAGAAAGAAGGCAGATTTTGATATGTCTAATATTGGAATATTGGAATATCAGGATAAATTTCAGATTGTTGAATTGATTTCTAAAAACATCTGTTATGTACAGCGATAATTTCTTCCACCAACGTTTTGATCTAATTTGTGATTTAGATGTTTTTCAGTACTTTAATTTTCGAAAAAATTCTTCATGACTGTATGACAGACAGATCATTTGTTATATCTTTCTGTGGTAACGGGATGAATAAATGACTTCTTTGGTAATGATAAGAACTGGTGGATCATATATTAACATTTTTACATTATCTTGATATTGTGATCAAATAATTGTGACTTCGTACTTTGTTATCATAACTTTGCCCTTAAACCAAATAAATTTCCTTAAAAAATAGTACTTTATTGAAGTTCTTTTCTGCGCTTACTATTGATTGAGTATTTGCATTTTATTTCAAATCTTATTTGATACATTGTCTCAAAAATAGCAATCTTCTTTGAATCCACAGTCACAGTCGTACGGAGTGTTGTTGCACTTTGAGGTTTTTCAAGTACATTCTATGTTCTACACTCTATTGCTCTTTTGGTAATTTTCATTTTCTAATAGTTTTGAGCACTTCTCAAAATACTTCCCTGTCCTTCTTTCTTTCTTTTTTTAACAAATTCTTTGTGCAATTTTGCATTCTCTCCAGCATTTATAAAATGTCCCATTTGCTTTCCGTTTAATGCAGTATGAAAATATAGTACATATACTGGTTCCTTTTTTCAGGTTAACATCATCAGTTCAGTATATCCTCGTTTTATATATCAATCTATATCTATAAGGATACCACGACAAGTTCAGGATATCAGGATAAATAAAATGTGCTGTATTGTTCATATCAGAAGAATTTACGAACTTTAAGGTCTACATTTTCCTTTCAACATTACACAAAAGTTCCTATTAGAATATTTGAAAAACTGAAAAGTTGGAAAAGGAATGGTGAGAGATGGATTAATGATTCACATATTCATTCAACTGATTCTTAATTACATCTAAAGTTTTTTTTCTCAGAAATGAACTATTCATCACACGTTGAATTAAGAGGTGTCATTTGTGATTTGATCAGCGAATACAACTTGTTTCAGTGAATTGTTTAGTTTGTTAGAGAATTCATTTCTTATTGGCAATCGGTGAATACATAGTTAACCAAAAATTGAGTAGTAATTTAGATATGGAGTACTAAACGTAATAGGTAAATCTAAAAGGAATTTATGATAGCTATAATGGATAATTATAGTTTCTTTTAAAAAGTGAAAATTTTTTAGAAATGCTTTTGTTCGTTGTTTATTTTCTCATCCTTCTCCGACTTGTTAAATTATGCCCGAAAGATTAATTAATGAAACTAAAAGAATTAAATTCTACAGAAATAAGACCAACTTCGTAAAAGGTACAAATGAAATCACACAGCGATTTGCTGTTTTTACTGAACTGACTTAATTGACAACTTCATTTCATCCTTTAACTTATTTCTTTCATTGAATCATTTTTAGAAGACTCATGAAGCTGAAACAATGCTTTTGCCACATTGGCTAGTCTAAAATAGAAGATTCGAACCATCAAATAATTTAATGAATCCACGAAATTTACTATTGCTGCCTGATGTATGTCCAGAAAAATCTTTGTATATGTAATATGTCTAAGAAGCATTGAAATTTCGATTTTTTATCTCAAAACATTTGTGTTGGCCAAAAAGAAATAAATTCTTTAAAATTTAAGCTTTTAATTTGTTAGCATAATATTTTTATTTAGCCCATAATATAAAAATTTTTTGGCAAATGTTTACGATGGCGCGATTTTTTCCCATTCATTTACATTCGGATGAACATGAGAAGCCAAATTGGAAATAGTAAAGTTGATTTTGGCGTTATTATCCATTTCGTTTTGGCTTATGAATGATGAGAAAGGTATGCTAATTAGAATAGATTAAGAATAAGATTGTTTTTCAAGGAAGTAAAGAAAGAAGGAAGAAAGGGAAGAAGGAGAAAACCAAGGAATACTTAGGATTATTTATAGTCTGCATAGGATCATGACATCAAAAAGGGTGCACGATTCTCAATCATGTATCTTTTTTTTGGTGACTATTTAGTAAGGATGTGATCGGTTTCGATCGTTTTGTGAGCAAGTTTGATAGATATCCACCCGTTTACCTATAAGTGCACTTTTTAAGGTGTAATTTAATTTAATCTCATTTTATCAATTTTTATTTGCTACATATAAACAATAAGCATTCCCTTACACATTCTTTGTTTTGTAACTTTCTTGAAAAAAATTATAGTTTCATTTAAAATCTAATTATTTCATTACTTATTTCATTTTTGATTCAGATATTTTACATTTCTTTTCAACTTAGATACTTTTGTCAATAACTGGATATTTATGTTTTTAACTGTGTCATTTAGTTGAACGAATGATTGTCACCAATGTCATCTTAATTTTATTCAATACCGTCTCATTCATTCATTCATTTTTGAGAGTAAATTTTTAGCCTCTTTATCTTAAATATATTACAATAGAACAAGTTAACACATTCATCACATTCTTCACATTCTTCCTCTTCTTCTTCTCATTTACATTCTCGCTCATACCTTTAAGGGATCTCTTTTCTCATCATCACACTTCAACTTTTAATAGTGCCATTAAATTTTTTTGATTTAAAATTCATTTTAATGAATCAAAAGTTTTTTTTTTTTTAATGAAAAAGGATGGATTATAAAAGAGTAAGTATAAATGAAAAGGTTCAGAGAAGCTAACCATTGACGAAATATAATATTTTGTCAAACAGAAAATGGCTCAGTGGATATAAATAAATAAATACACTTGTGCCGTCATGTTATGTGCTTTTTGTTCCTTTTTTCTATTTTTCTTTCTTTATCAACTCGGAAATACCTTTTGAATTTGTTGGAATGGTAGTGGTAAGATATTAAATTACATTGGAAATCTTCGAACAACAAATAAAAGAGATTAAATCTAAATTAAATGAGCCTTATTATTACTGATCGAGAATTTTTCTGATTATTGCTGATCAGATTATTACTAATAGAATTGAAGAATAGTAATATTAAGCCCATTATAAATTTAAGCAAAGTTTTTATCAGAGGAATAGAGAAATTGTACAAACAGCGAAAAAGTTTTAGGGAAAAAAATTAGTCTAATTGTTAACCTTTCTTCTGGCACTTAAGTGTCAAAGCTCTTCTATTATTGTCAAAGTTTTTCTATTTATCCTTACAAGGATGCAAGGAATTAAATATAAATAACTCTTCTGTTTCACCTGTAACTTTTAATAACTTAAACTGAGCAGAAACCATTGTTTTTCTCTAAGTTATAAATGCAATAACCTAAAAATAATCATTTCCTCATTTTTTTTTTTTTTTCAATTTCATTTATATTCCAGCGAATCTACTGAAAACAGAAAAGCAAATTTTAGTCTAACCATTTTCGTTTTTATAACAGATGGCTGTCACACTTTCTCTATGACGTGGTCTATTTATGAACTATTCAATATACACCTTTGAGCGAAACATATTTACCACACGCCCATCCACAATTTTTTTAATTCAAATACTACAATATTCAAATTTTTGAGTGAATTAGGTTTAACTTACAATGTTTCGTTTTTTTCGACTAGCGTTGCGAGACGAATATATCATATCTCTTTGTTTTTGGCTCGTGAAAAATATGTGAATGTGAATGTTTTCGTCACCAATACCTGGAAATTTTGTACTTTTTACAGTCACAATTGGATTTCATTAATACTGTCATGCTGAGATTACGTCATTTCCGTTTAACACTTATACCCTTAATTGCATCATACATTTGAAATATTGCTTGATTTAATACATTCAGTTTCATTTTCAAAACGTTAAGAAATATTTTCTTTTCTTCTGTTTATTTATTGGCTTTTGATCATTCCTTTTTGGACAATCACTGTTATGTGTTCCATGCAATGATTTGCTTGTTTTTTTCAACTTTGTCGTAATGCTTCTTAAATGCTTTAAAAATTTAATTCTTAAAATTTCAGCTTTGTTATTTTTTAACTTATTTTGTGATATTTCAATTGTAATTTCAAGAACAGCTAAGATTATCTTCACCGTCAATTAGTATGAATTTTTAAGCATGAATTTTAATTATTGGATCCATAAATTGACATTTTATTCGTATCTCACTTCGTCCCCCTTGATGACATTACGACGAAATGAATAAATAGGTTACAGTACCTGGTCATAGTTCATTCTTCGTCATTTCCGTCATAGCTGCTACTCGTAACTGTGGATCGCTGTATAACATTTGCTTACGCTTTTGTGTATAATTGGACAGATTTGTTAGGCATGTCATGTTGTATTGAGGAGTGGGATGACGTGAGTATTCCACGTGACGTATTTTCCTTGTCCTTCCCTTTACTTTCAGATATAATCTTTCCATCTACTAAGTTGGATTTATTTGAAACACGCTTAATGCAAATGTGTCGCTGGCAGAGTGCCACAGGCGCAAAAGGGAGAGAGAGAGGCAGACAGACAGACAGACAAGTGGACTGGAAGGAAGATTTATTGCTGGATTCATTGGAAATTTTCCAAAAAAGAGGATTGTTCTGTGAAGTATGTTCGTTCTTGTGTCTGTCTTCTGCTAAGAGAAGCTCATATCTTACGCCTTCCCTCGAGAACGCACCGTATTTGCTCGTTTGTCTCCTTGCTTCTGTTCAGTAGATCAGGTATGTCTGGAGAGTGACCACACGACAATCTTCCATCTGTTCGAGTGAGTGACAGCTGTCAGCTGGACACTGCTACGTGATGGACTTGTTTACTGGCCTTCTTGCATCTCAATAGCACTCACATTTTATGCTAAGTGTCGTGTAATAGTGTCAGCAACACACACACACACACACACACACACGTCATTTTTATAGAAAAATTATCCAACTAATTAACTATCGCAGATCGCGGAGGTCCATTTATAGTTTCAATGGTAAATTCATAGCCATTATAAAGAAACATTGTGTCTACAAATGGATAAATGATTGACGGAGGTTGCTAATCACTTTCGATTCTAGTAAACAATACTGTTATTCGATCGCTTATTATTCCACCACCACTTATATTTTCTGATTTTGGGATTTGCTTCAGTATGCGATAACTGATGGATCTCCCTTTTCTTTCATCATTCAGTGATGAAAGAAATCTGGATGATTCATTTAATACGAATTTCTTTTTACACTTTTCACCTTCATAACCTTACAGGTAGCAAGAATTTTCACTTCTCAGCAGTTTTGCTGGAGATTAGTAAGTCAAATTTGATAACCTTTGATAGTTTTTATTTACCATAATAGTAGTATAACTAGAATGTTGTGTGGATCATTAAGATTTATCTCAGTCGGCTTTATTTTTTATCTTTATAACATAAGAAAGCAAATACTTTTAATTCGGTTTTAATGAAAGAACATGCGAGCGTTCTTTTTTATCATTCCTAACCATCGGTATCATTCAGTAGTACCAGCTGTGATTGCTTGTAAACTCTTTTTTGCTTATCTTTTCAAAGATTTTCTTGTCAAATGAAGCTACGATCTTGGCAATATTTATCTACTATCGATCCATCGATCGATCGATCAGTCATCTGTCTGTGTATTTATGTGCATACATCATTATTTAATATTTGTATTAATATAAATGCATGATGAAATATATCTTTTCCATCATGACTCATCGATTTAGTTTTTTCAATGTTCATATTTTTCCTCAACTGCTGGCGCATAGCATTTTTTCCTTGTCTATGGCAACAGGCAACACTATTATTGGAAATCTCCGCTTGTACTTAATGATTCGAAGATCAGGTTCTTGTAACAAAAAGTCTGTCACCATTGTTTGGTGGGAGGAGTAAAAAGGAATGAACAGACGATTTGAAAGTACAGGAAAGTTAGTTGGCGACGAAAATGAAAGAAAAAAAAGAAAGAAAAGATATATAGGAAATCGGGTGATTCAAACTTTTCCTTTTTCTTTCATTCCAGTTCTAGATTTTCCAAAATAATTTTTAAAAAATATGTGCAATTAGAGGACAACGAAGGGATGACGAATGTTATGGAATGTGATGAACAAGTTTCAATTTATTCTTTTATTACTGAAATAAGAGGAAAAGGATATCGGGAAGAGGCGATAATTTCAATCATGTATTCTAGAATATATTCAACTGACTATCGTTTTTCTTTTGGAATCTTTCTCCGAATTATTTTCAAATCTTTTAACAATGAAAATAATTTTGTAAACCTCGTTTAATATGACATGAAAGTTGAAAGTTGATCTGATTTTCCCACTGTTGACTAAAATGTGTTATGATGGCTGACAAAATTTCCAAAGTTTTTGAGAGGAGATCAGCTGGACAAAAACATTATCTTATCGTTTGCAATGGCAATTGCCCTATCTAGTTCAAGACGTGACTCTTTGAAGTATGGAGTCATAATCTTTACAGGACAAAGAAAAAACAAAATAATTAAGTCAGAAAATCTGACCCAATAGATTAACTTAACCAACTAAGATCGATCTCAAACAAATGCAAAATTAGTACGTAAAAGACATTATTTTTGGATTTGTCAGTTCGCATAAATTCGCGTAAAGAAAGACTTACCTTTACTTATGCTAACTGTTCGAGTTTTCTGTAAGATACATTTACATTTTACTTCGTACTGTCCAGATACTAAAAAATTCTATGTAAATTATTACACAGAACATTACACTTGTGCTTTCCTTAAAATCCATTAATAAAAGTGAATATTTTAAAGATACTTTCCGTTAGTTCTCGTTTAGTAATGAGTACATTGTGTTATCACAGATGATTTGTCTAAGAACACCTCATGCTGGCGCTGAAAGACAGATAAGAATTCAGTAGACCCAATGATCTTATTAAGCCTTCAATTGCACTTCATATCCTCTTGTTGATGCAGCAGCTTCCGCCCAGCCAGTGCTTTCAGACACATATTTATTTCATTGTCGTCACCGTCAGAGCAACTGCCAAGTGATGATGGTATGTCCTATCTCTGTAAGCTTTGTGTTTACTTCATTTTTTCATCATCGCTTGCTGGCAAAACTTTTTTACGTAATCATTTATATATACAAATTTAACGATTTTATTTTAATTTTATTAATCTAATTAAAAAAAAGTTGTTGACAGAATAAAATTATTTCTTATTACAGTTTTAAATCACAATTGAAATAATATAAAGAATTGGTATTGGACTTTATTAGTGTATCAAATGGAAAGGTCAGGTCAGGTCAGGTGTTACACTTGAAATAATTTTTTTTGAAATGATTTTGGGACCAAATTTAATGAACTTTTTTTTCCTGAGTAGATGTTATTTTGGTCGTTTTGCTGTAAATGTTTGGGTAAATGCTTGGTCGTTTTGCTCAATTTCTGGAGCCATCTTTACCAGTCCATTTGCTCAACTGTACATTTATCCCCAACGTGTTGTACACGTGATCACGTGATTTAATGCTGCATATCAGTTAGATAACGTTCCAAAAATTTTCTCATAGCATAAATTTCATGTATTATTATCATATTTGCATAGTTTTTGTTTTCACTATTCATCTGCTTGCTGGATCTGACTTTTTCTTTTTTGAAAGGCACATATTGCGATCACCTGAACTAATTACTGCTTTTACCTTATTTTTTAATATCTCTTTCCGCCTATTTTTGATAGGTTGGAACATATATTATCGTCAGTCAGACTTCAAACATTTTAATGCCTATTATTCTGATCTTATATTTTTCAGCCGATGTACACCTGTAGAATTTTATTGCATTTTACTTTTATACCAAGAAAGAATATGGCTGCTACAAGGAAATTTATTTTTTATCTTATCATTTATTATCTGAGAACAACAATGCAGAGCTATCCTTCGCTTATCTCATCTTTAAAGGATGAAACTTGGGAATTTTTCTTCAACATCTGGAAGTGTTTTGTTAAAATTGATTTAAAAAAGTTTAAAATTTCATGAAGTTTGCAAATTTATATTAGTTTTATCAAAATATTCGTTCAGTCCTTTAGTTTCCTCTTCTCAGCCAAATTATAACATTTTCGTTTGTTTACAGTGATTATTAGTTGAGCTTCTTTTTCTCTCTGAATTTCCATTCTCAATAGCCCATCACTATACCTACAAATACGCTGTATAATTGGAAATATCATACCTGAAGTACCAATTGTCCTATCATCGTTCCTTGTACTATCACTGACTGTCTTGTCATTCCATGAAAATTACATAAAATTGTTTGCAAAGTCAGCACAATTTCTCTCAAACTATAAAATTTTCAGTGAATTCATGAAAGATCGAAGAAAAGGGCAGTAGCACGAGCAGCTGTTGCTGTGTAGGCGGTAAATTGATGAACAGTCAGTAGTTTTTTCCGCCTGCTTCAAATCTGAAGCATGAATTTTGAAAAAGCCAATTGAAAAAAAAGATGAACGAATTAGGAGTGCATATCATGATTTTGTTTTAAAATAATTCCTATTCAATTTAGAATATTTTTTGTTTTTAAAAATAATCTTTCCTTAAAATTTACAGTGAATGCATTTGATACATCTTTTTCTTGTTTAACTGTTAAGCTATTTTGCACTTACATTATGGAAGAAATAAGGAAAGTTCTTCCTATGGTATTAAAAGACAAAAATAATTTTTTAAAAATTTCCCTTCATTTTACCATTTGGTACTTATTAAGTGTAAAGGTATTTATGTCATTATCTTAGGGATTATATTTCATTTGATATTTTAATTCTAATTCGAATTCCAGATATAAACAGACTTGATCTCAATATTTGGGCAAGTTACTGATTTTAAAAGACGAGATTGCAATAGTTCTATTTTTAAATCATTCTCTTTAAATTCATTCTCTTGATATCCTATGTGCAAACACGTAGAAAAGGACAATAATATTATCCACCTACAGTTCCATTCTGTAAAACAACACAACTTAAGATTTAACAGTATCAAAAATTCCAGTCTCTTCTTATTTCCTTCATGCCTGTTGTTGTGGCATAAATAAAACGAAATTTCAACATGTCGATCTATTTAATTATGATTCATATCTTATTTTGGGTGGGGCAATGTTGTTTATAGCTCGAATTAGAAAGTAATTATAATATGATACCCTCGTACTATATTCTTATAATTCCTTTGCGTAAAAATTCCAGACTCTCATTTAACCGGGCCTGTTTAAATACTCTAATTTTGGATTATAACCAGGAAATAACAAATATTTGCATGTGATCTGTGTGGAAATTCCTGTCATCATTTAGTATTTTGTCAAATTAATTTAGTATTTTGTCAAAACGACCCATATTTCTGATGAGTCATCTGCAAATCATCATCTTTTTATGATACTAACAATTTCAACTCCATTATTATTCTAATATTTTGGGACATCAAAAACGAAAGTTTCAATTA